CAAAATAATATTCTAACCATCTATTCTGTTTTTACATTATTTTTAGGTTGTTACAGAAGCAGCAATCACTTAAACAAAGTTTGGACCCCAATATGTGTCAAACCAATCTTACCGCCATGCCTGTAACAGGACTAAAGCAAACAATGCAAATGGCAGACTGCACATCGTAAGTGGAAAAATATACCTATACTCGTTTACAAGTGTTCTGTATTTTAATTTAATTATTTTTTCCGAATGTTTGAGAAGGCCATCACTAATATTGTGCTTATTTTGTTTTAGACCTGACATTCCTGAGTCGCACTCACCAAAACTGAAGCCTTCCAGAATGCGTCAATGGATATCCTTAGAAAGTGACACAAGTGCTGGCTTTGGTTTATCAAACAATACTGCTAGCTCTCGTGATTCCCATTGGCAAGATGTTGAGGTAGCCTGTCCTGGAGAGCATGATAGTCTTCCACATAGGACTGTCAGCATCAGTGATGGTGATCAGGGTACTGATGCTTCATGCTCACTCTCCAATAGGAAGTCAGATGGCTCACATAAGTCAACCCCACAAGTTGTACATAAGCCTAGACGGCGCTCTGTGAGCATAAGTGATAATGATCAACACTTTGGACCACCTTCTGAATCAGATATTGCAGTTCAGAAGAAACGGTCAGACTGTCATTGTGGTAAACCTGAAGCTCGGGGTGTTAGGCCACCACGCATTAGTACTTATGGTCCTCCTCCTCGAAATCTGTCCTCTGATAAGTTGTCAAAGCAAGTCTGTGAGAGTTGCACTTCTCACAGTTATGTGGCAAAAAGGGACACTGTACTTCCTTCAGGAAATACCCATGGTGCTATGTCTAATCGTGGTGTAAGCTCTCTAGGCGCAACTCGGCCCAATGTTGTTGGCCAGCAGTCTGAATATCAGAGAGAAGCAGCTAAATGTTCATGTGGAAGTGCTCAGGTGCAATCAAAGAGTTGCTGTAGCTCATCCTCTGGTGCTATGCCTCTTCAAACCACTGGTGCTGTAAAAAAAGGAACAAGTAGCACATCACACCAAATTGTCCCGAAAGTTGTTGCTGAAGTAACTTCAGGCCCAACTCCACCTTTGCCTGGTGGTGGCTTGGTCAGAGTCCATATCGAAACTGAGGAGCTAGATTCTGCTCGAGCAAAGTCAGATTCCCAACGTAGCTCAGTGCTTAAAGAGAGAGTACACATAGCAGAAGTTTCTGAAGATCAAATTTCATCTGGAAATATTCCAAGTGATGACAGTATAACAAAGGCTGTCAGGCATGCTGTTTCTTCTAAAGTGAAAGCTCTAAAAAATATTGGCCAGATTGAAGAGGCAGAAGTCAAGATTCGTGTCAAAGTTACTCCAGGTCAAGTGTCAGATGATGCTCTTGCCCATTCTGGAAGAGGAAGAGTTTTAAAGTCTCAAGATCTAGAAGATGAAAACATATTTCATCCGTCAAAGCACTCTGAGATGGAAGATCTAATTTCCAAGCAGATCGCAATGGATCTAGAAACTCGCCAAAAGCTTCTGGCCATTGCAGAGAGTAGACAGCGAGCTCAGATGGGATTGCATGATGTAGATCGCAGAATTCAAGATCTTCTCCTGCAAGATTATCTCAGCCGACAGTTTAAACCTTCAGAGAGTACAAGTGCTCCTCATGCTCGATTGAATGTCCGTGTGGAAGCTCCTGTCATGCAAGGTAGTTCAGTTGGAGTACAAAGTGATGTGGATAAAAAAACAACTGGTACATCCACCGGTGCATACTTAGAACAATCATTGCCACGAAGAGATGATCAATCATACACAATTCCTTCACCGCAGCTTCAACCACTACCAATACATGGTCCTTGTATTTGCGGAGCAAAATCAGTTGCATCTGCCAGAGAACAACAATCTGTAGTAAGCCAAGGACAGCAGACAGAGGCTATTGCTCGTCCTCAAACTGCCCCAGGATCCTGCCTCTGCTCTTGTCAGTCACAGTTAGCTAGCTCACCTAGGACATTCCATGCCTCTCCACCATTCTCATCACCGGAGAGGCAGGTGGAGTTTGAGTTGGAACTGCGGAAAAAAGGACCATTAAAACCATATCAGATGACTCCCCATGAAGTTCATGAAACTCTGAAAAGCCGCAACACTGCGTACTTTCTTCAGTTTGAAGAGGATCCTTCTCTTGAGGTAGAACAACAGAGAGAAGTCACCTCAAATGTGAAACCTCAAATGGAGGTGGTGACAATGAAAATACCAAAGCCCAGGCCTGGCACACAACTTCCTGCTTACAGACCATCCTCAGCACATGGCAGTAAAAAGACAGCCAAAGTCAAAGGTCCACCAAAGCAAAATATAAACCGAGCAGCCCGTTTTGGTGGAAGTACTCAACAAGGAGGCACATCTCAGTCTGATTATGAGCTGAACCTAGCTGGTCAGGGAGTGCTATTGGAGCAATTTGGGGCTGCAAACCTGCTGAGAACCACTCCTGGACGAAGCCATTTATCCATAACAATCACAGACTCGTCTGCAGACAGCATGCAATCGCCTGATGGTGATTCAAGATATTCATCACTACAGCATCCATCAAGGAAACCACACAAGTCTCCTCAGCCAAAGAAAAGAGAGAAACTGAATGTCAGAGGGGAAATGGAAGGTGGTGAAGGAAGCCCCACCAATTTATCTCAAAAAGAAGGAAGTGGAAGTCCTAGCACAGCTTTGTCGTCTCCAAAACTGAATCTGCCAAAGCAGAATAGTGAACTGCCTGCTAATGACAGTGATTCTGTATACAACTATCTAGGGGACAATAGCAATTCTGTACCCACACTACAGGTAAGACTTTTGTGTGCAAGACTTATAAGGTAATTTAAGTTTTTCAAATTTTTAATATTGTGTTTGTCTTTTTTGTGTGTGTAATCTCACTAGGAATACTTAGAGAAGAATCATCCCAAATATCTAGATGCAGCTGAAAAAAGAAGACGTTGTATAGCTGAAATGTCATATTTGCGTCACTTGCGTCAGCAGAGCCGTCGGCGTTTGCTTGAACTTGAAGGTGACAACATGTGTGCCAATCAAAAGCAGCAATGGAGGTCTCGTTGTGTATCGCGTCCTAGACCTGGTAAGTGAAACAAATCTGATCTGGTTGATTGAAAACCTATAGCCACATATGCAAACACTTAAAAAATAATATATTTTTCCTT